AAGGGGAGGGTCTTTTCCCCTTTACTGTCCTTGACACTGCGGTGGCAGTATCCCGGATGATACTTTTGATGTAAGCAGGAGTCAACTTAGTCTTCGCAGATGGTTCAAGGGTGTAGAGCAACCCAGCTATACCTGCTACGATAGCGGATGCCCCCGAAGTACCCGTAACAGTGGCATACTTGTCTCCAAGATGAGTTACAACTATTTCGTAACCTGGAGCGGCGATGTCAACAGCTAAACCAAAATTGCTTATGCCAACAAGCTGCAATTTGGTACCATACGTTGCAGCCACACATAACACTCCATCAGCGGGTGAACGGCCGAAGGAACAAGGGAAATATGGGGTTATGTCCAGATCCAGGTGGCGATTCCCTGCCGCAACAACAACGAGCATGCCAGCTGCAGTTGCTTCCAAAATCTTGTCTGTAACGGCTCGAGAACTTGATTTGGCGGTTCCGTCCGTCATGAGAATAACTTTTACATCATCTTTCTTTTCATTGATCAGGTAGGTGAAAGCATCCGTCAATGTGCGAAAAGTCGAAGTTGCACCCGTGACTATGGGCAGTATGCGCACCCTGTCCAGAATACCCGCCATACCGATCTTGTTATTCCTGATAGCACCAACGATGCCAGCCATGTTGGTTCCATGCTCTCCTCGAGGACTGGTATCATCATTCTTATCAACCACGTTGTAGCCCTGGATGACGGTACCCTTCAAGTCAGGGTGAGTGGCCTCGATTCCGTTGTCAATAACTGCGATGGTCACAGGTGTTCTCTTGGGAGTAGAGTCCAGGATACCCCAAGCCTCCGGTATAGAGATGGCCTCAAGATAAGCCTTCTGCTTGTGATAGAGCTTGTCGTTAGGATCACCGTTCACAGGACCGAGCCCACGGAAAGAGCCATTTTGGCCCACTTCTGCTTCAACGTAGAGAAGTTGCACGAGACGAACCAGAATGATGTTAGGAGGAGCTTCATTGAAAGCCACTAGATGAGCGAGTCGTTGTGTTTCGGCGTGCCGAGTGTACGCATGAACTACTCTTTGAGTCACGTGGGAAATTTTTCGCGTGCGACACAAGCTTTTTTACTGGGGCACGATTTTTTT